GCTGGTCCAGGTGAGGTGGGTAAGCAGGGGAGGGAGGGTCTGGTCTACCTTCAGAAGATTGCTGCAGCTGCTTGTTGGAAGGCATCGTCGGAGGCAGAGGAGGCCGGGCCGGTGAGGAGGTGGAGGAGGGGCCGGGCAGGCGGGGTGTGCACTGTGGAGATGGAGCTGACAGCCTCGCTGGTGGACAGGGTGTGGGGACGCAGGGACAGGGACGGTGTAGGATGACTTAGGGCTCTGACTCAGCAGTTGAGTGGGTGGTGGGGCCTTGCATGGAGACGGGCTGGCTGGTGCAGAACCAGGTGGCTGACCTGGGCTTCTCTGGTGGCCATGCGCACTCTGGATGCTTGTTGTGTGTGTGTGCACCACAGAGATGAGGTGGGGAGCGCCCTTCTTGGCGCCTGAGCCTGGAATCGAGTGAAATGGGAGAGGGGAGCTTGCAGTGTGGATGAGGCCTCGTCGGTACTCTGTGTCTCCTGAAGGCAGGGCAGGAAGAGACCCTGGTGGGTGATGTAGGGGCTTCAGTCAGAACCAGGGGCTTTCGCACATTGGGAGGTGGGCTGAGGAAGAAGAGCAGCAGAGGAACAGAGAGGGGCTTTAGTGGAGACAGGGCAAACTGAGGGGGTGTGATGCTGCAGAGGCCTGGGAGGCATGTTGGGGGGCAGATGGGGGAGGTGGGGAGGTAGGGGGCACGTGGGGAGGCAGGTGGGGGCAGGTGGTGGGGTGGGAGGTGGGGCACGTGTGGGGGATGTGGGGGCATGTGCAATGGCGTCAGATGCTGCCTGGAAGTCCTGTAAGTAAGGATAGAAAATGAAAGTAGCCATTGGACTAGTGCCCTGGAGGTGCCTGGCAGGAAAGTGGGAGTTGGTGAGCCTGTGGGATGGCTGAGGAGAGACAGGAAGTGAGGGCATGGACGCAGCAACTGCTGGACCGTACAAAGTCAGAGCAGGCAGAGCCATGGGGCAGCAGCTGGGGGGCCGGGGTGTAGGGAGCACAAGGAAACAGCAGGCAGACCCCAACACAGGAACATTCGCAAGATGGTCTGTGCTCTTCAAAAGAGAGGGAACGGTGAGGGAGTGTTCCCACTGAAAGAGGCTAGGGCTTTGTGAAACAGAGTGCACTCGGTCCAGAATGTCCTGAGTGACAGGACGTATTGGGACAGTTGGCAGAGGTAAGGTCCGCAGGCTTGATAACAGAAGCTGTCAGTGTCATGGTCCTGGTTTCGGTGGCTGGACAGTGGATTTGTCCTGAGTGTTCTTGATCTGAGGGTGTGGGACCTGTCTGAACATTGCTCCCAAATGCTTTACAAAAGAATACATGGATACACACGTAGACCCGGGGCGCAAGAAGGGAAAGGGGCACAGCAGGCAGGGTGCTAACCCTGTGGCACGGGCGGGGCCCCGAGTTCTCTGTGCTGTTCTTGCAAAATTAAAAGTTAAAAATACATCGAATAATTGGTCAAAAAATAAATATTTCCTGGCTCTTTTTTCATGTATTAGTGTTTTTTGTGCCATGTAGGGTGATTTTTCAGCAATTGTGTACATTTTCCACATTTTGCCCTTTTGCATGACTTTGGAAACGATTTTTGATGGCTTTCTCAGTCCTCTTGTTTGGTGATATTTCCAGGAGTTTCAGTTTGTCTCTGGTTCTAAATTGATTGTCTGCAAGCAAATTGGTCAAATATGCTTATTTCTAGTTATTTGTACTCTGGGGGAATTTTACAACTTCTTAGCACTTTTAAAAGCATATCTTTGCCCATTTTGTAAAGTATTGTCTTTCAAGACGCTGACCCCGAGTGTGTAGCGATTGAGAGCGTGTAGTGGTCGGGAGCATGCGGTCCTGTGCCGTGTCTGGTGTGGCGTCAGCTTGGGTCACAAGTGGCCGCCCTCGGGGGTCCCGCAGGAAGAGCCCAGGGCCCTGGGGTCGTGCTGGGGCGTGTGCAGTAATGACAGCGCCTGACATCAGGGTATTCGCCTGTTTCACACTCTGACCTCTCCTCCCTGATGTGTTTAGAGAAAGGTTTTGCTTAAAAAAAAAAACTGCAAACCACTGATACTGAAAAATATTTTGTAATTTTTTAATTTTATTTATTTATTTTTCCCCCAAAGCCCCAGTAGATAGTTGTATGTCATAGCTGCACATCCTTCTAGTTGCTGTATGTGGGACGTGGCCTCAGCATGGCGGGAGAAGCGGTGCGTCGGTGCGCACCCGGGATCCGAACCCGGGCCGCCAGCAGCGGAGCACGCGCACTTAACCACTAAGCCACAGGGCCGGCCCGAAAAATATTTTTTAGAATTTAATACTTTAATGTAATTAACATTTAAAATTATCAGTGTTCTTTCTCATCATCTTTCAGCCTGATTGCAGTTTTTATACAAAGAAGGCTGAATCGGTTTAAATTTAATAGATGTATAATCCACTGGAAAAAAAGGTAGAAAATAGCTAAATAGGCTTGAAAGGCTGAAAATGAATTTGCTTTTTACAAGAGGGTAACTTACAGTGGTCAAAGCTGTTTAAAATCTGCTGAAGAACACAAAGGCCCAGGAGTCTGGAGTGCGTGGGGAGGATGCTGTGGCCCATGTGGTGGGCTCGCCCTGCCCTGTCAGCAGGTCTTAGTCTGGAGTGGAAGCCTCACGAGGCCAGGCAGCACCGTCGGGGGGACACCGTGGCTCCAGTCCCTGCTGTGGGATCTGGCACCAATAGTGGAGGAATGCGTTTCAGGGCAATTTTTTCTCAAATAATTTACCTAGAGCTAGAGCTAAAAGTGTTTAAAGTCAACAAAAGCATTGCCAAACAAAAACAACCTGGTATATGGGCTAAAATTAATTAGAAATAAAGATACTAAAAGATCTGAGGGAGAGCGGGAAAGTGTCCTGATTTATATGCATTTATATGGAATGTGAGGGCCTGGGTCAGAGGGAGCCAGTCCCCCCACCTAGGCCTTCTCTGCAGAGGCCTCCAGTCGCCTCCCCTCAGGCCTTCTCTGTAGAGGCCACCGGTCACCCCCCACCCCAGGCCTTCTCTGCAGAGGGAGCCAGTCACCCCCAGGCCTTCTCTGCAGAGGGAGCCAGTCACCCCCAGGCCTTCTCTGCAGAGGGAGCCAGTCACCCCCAGGCCTTCTCTGCAGAGGCCGCCAGTCACCTCCCCCCAGGCCTTCTCTGCAGAGGGAGCCGGTCACCCCCAGACCTTCTCTGCAGAGGCCGCAAGTCACCTCCCCCCAGGCCTTCTCTGCAGAGGGAGCCAGTCACCCCCCGCCCCAGGCCTTCTCTGCAGAGGGAGCCAGTCACCCCCGCCCCCCCAGGCCTTCTCTGCAGAGGGAGCCAGTCACCCCCCCCAGGCCTTCTCTGCAGAGGGAGCCAGTCACCCCCAGCCCTTCTGAATGGAGGGAGCTGGTCACTGGGCTTGTTTGAGTCTTGGGGGCCCGTGTTGAAGCACAGTCCACTAACAGCATTTTTTTCTCCAGCGATTTCACCAGTTAAAAAGAGGAACCTAAGTGAGCTGCCACATGCCCTGTCAGATTTATTTGAAGACACTGTGCCCAACAGAGAAACTGTTAACTCTCAGGATCGAAAGGAGCCCATGTTAAGAGAAAAGGCAGACTTTTTCCCACCTGTTGAAAAACTAGACCTGAGTGACCTCAGAAAGTCCGCCGAGCCCTCGGAAGACTGGCCGAGTGAGGAGGAGATCAGGCGCTTCTGGAAGCTGAGACAGGAGATCGTGGAGCACGAACAAGCAGAAGTCCTTAAAAACCAGCTCTTGCCGATGGAATTGCCTCCAAACCTCAAGGCAGCGTTAAACACTAAGGAGAAAGAGCGTTCCAACCCAAGACACGTTTTCAGGTAAAATTTGAAAGCAAAGGTGCATTTTCTTGGTCTTTGCAAAGTTGTACTGTTATTTTGTGATTGTCTTTTAAAACGTCAGGTAGACCTGTGTCCGCATTGTCATCATTTATTATGTAGCGGGTGCCAGCGCTGGCTCAAGGTTAATGTTACGTAGAACAGGGCCTCCAAGGAGGAGCTTACACAAGAGAAGAACTCAGATGCCGTGTGTGTGTGTGCACACACGTGTGTGGATGTATGCATAGAGAGAGAGAGAAGGAGAATGGGGCCAGATAAAACATGGTGAATGTAGAGCATGCATTCAACAGGGGATCGTTCTGAGGGGACAGAAATTGGCTCTTGGGGGTGAAGAGAATCTTAGCGGTCACTCTGGTTTGTGGCGCCACATGCTCAGCCCTGCGGACGGCAGAGCCCGTGTCCGGTGCCCCTGTGGTGGAGAAACTCTGTGGAGGGGCCGGTGGGAGAAGTGAGTGTGAAGAGGCAGCGATCCGGCCAGTGTGGGAATGTTCAGGTGTTGACTGCACTGTTCTCTCACATGTTCTGTAAGTTTGAAAATTTTCCAAATAAAAAAATGTTCAAGTATCATTAACCGATTGTAACCTTAAAGAGCTAGAAGTGGGTAATGTGGGTTCCCGGTGTAGCCTGGCGTCGAGTCCGAGGCTGTTGTGACATCCTCAGTCCACAGAGTCACACATTTGAGGACAGTGTTCTAAGCCTCCTGTTAGAAACCTCTCCCTCCCTCCCTCCTTCATTCGCTCATTTTTGTCACGAACGAAGATAACTCATCCAAGTCGATTACAGTCGGCCTTCTCAGGGCACTTGACAGTTTCGTCCATGATCTCCTGCCTCAGGTCCATCTAAATCCTTTCAGATTTAGATCCGGCTCAGAGCCTTTGTAGGTTTACTTGGTGGTTTGGGGGGCGGGAGTGGAGGGCTGGCACCTCGAGGCAGGAGCCCCTCACGAGGCCCTCAGACCCGCCCCAAGCTTGCTGGCCCGGCAGTGGCCTAGGTGGCGGGTTTCCATGGGCAGCTGTCTGTAACTGTTAGGGTCGTTCCAGTGAGCAGCCTTCACGTTGTGAGTGTCTGTTTTCTAATGCCTGTCATCCAGGTGTGAGTGTTCATCGCAGGGTTTTGTTAGAAATGCGGCTAAAAACTTTGTGTGATTCTAGAAGGAAGACACCCTCCTTCAGGGGCGTCCTGCCTGACATCGCGTCATCACACCAAGCTGCGCTCCGAGGAAGAAGGCTGGAGGAGAGCTGGGCCTCGGCCCTCAGAGAGCTCAGGGAGAAGCAGGCTCTGCTGGAGCAGCGGAGAAGGTGAGCGTCGGCGGGGCAAGGGGTCTGTGCCGTGGCCAGCCTGCCGAGGGGGTGCGGGCTCAGACGGAGGTGGTAGTGCCGGGCCTCGCGGGGTCTGCTGTTGCTTCATCTGGAAGCCGACGTTCTGCCTCTCGTCGGGTGTGCAGCGTCCGGGCTGCGTGAGGCCGCACTCCTGAGCGGGCGTGGGCACAGACCACACAGGGCATCCCTCTCACCCCACCTGCCTGCTCTCTTGTATTTTCTTCTGATTTCTTCTTCTTCCTTAATCTGCGCTCCTCTCCCTTCAGTTGCCTGGCTTAGAGGTTTTTTCTAAGGAAAGTTATTTAAAATAACATGCTCATCAGGAAAGTTCACCCTGGCCCCTGCCTCGCTGGGCCTCTTGCTGGCTGCGGTCAGCCCTGACCTGACCATCTCTGTCCTCTGGCTCTGCCGACCTCCCGTCCCCACCGTGCTCTGGGCCCCAGGAGGCCGGCTGGCGTGGACGGCATCCACAGCGCCCCAGTGGCCCTCACCTTCTGGTTGGGTGTGGTCAGTGGGGGGCCCCAGCAGGAGGTGGGAGAGAGGGGGGGAGGGAGGGCAGTGTTCACCCCCCTCGCCTCTCCCCGTGAGGGCCACCTGGGGCTGGCCGAGTCCCTCTCCTGGCTCAGCAGCCACTCCTTCCCTTGTCCCAGGGGCTGGGGTGGCTGCAGCCACGCTGTTCCTCGCACGGCCCCTGCACTGCCCCTCCCCCTGTGAATAGTCCCTTTGTGAATAAACCCTCCTGAAATCATCCTGCATGAATGTGTTTTCTCTCGGGCCCCTGGCGGATACAGACTGTCCACCCATTGTCCCTCCGACACCCAGACAAACTTCTGCACTGGGCTTTCTTTTTCTTCAGTGGAAGGATAGGTGATGTTAGACCCTCAGAACTGGCCCGGGCACACGATGTCCCCTGCCCCAGGGTTATCCTGACATCGGGGATGCTGCCAACTGAGACTTGGGGGTCTGGCCCAGGCTGTGCCGGGGGTCGTGCTGGTCGTTGGCTATAGCTATCGGGGCAGCCACCCAGGCCCGAGCTCAGGTCGCCCCCCACAGAGTCCCCCAAAGTGTCCCTCAGCTGGAGTCCAGGCTTTGGGGCAGGGGGAGGCCCAACTGCCGCTCTGCCACCTGGTCCAGGTGTGGGCCGAGCACAGGCAAGACCCGACGCCGAAGGCACCTGCCCCCGACCCCTGCCACTGTGCTGCCCCCCTCACGGTGCTGTCCCCCCACCCTCTCACTGTGCTGCCCCCTCACTGTGCTGCCCCCCCACCCTCTCACTGTGCTGCCTCCCCTCACTGTGCTGTCCCCCCACCCTCTCACTGTGCTGCCCCCCCTCACTGTGCTGTCCCCCCACCCTTTCACTGTGCTACGCCCCCCGTGGTGTCCCCCACCTTCTCACTGTGTTGTCACCCCCAATGTGTTCCCCCCCACCCTCTCACTGTGCTGCCCCCCCAGGCGCCCCCCCCCCCCCGCCTTGCTCCAGGTGGGCCCCACCCCTCCTGCCTTGCTTCTGCCTGTTTTCCTGATGTCATTTTCTAGAACCGGCTGCCATGGTGCCTGCCCTCCTCGACTCCTTATGAGCCCCTCTGCCTCCATCGCTTGTGCTGCCTGTTGAGTTCATGTGTGAGTCGCTCTCCCCCCACCAGCCACCCTCCCCACCCTCTCAGACCAGCCCATGATCAGGGCGATGCACGGGGAGGTGGCATGGGTGGGTGCGTTGCTGGGGCAGGCACTCAGGGTAGCCCTGGCCGCCGAGGGATGCAGCGAGCAGGAAGCGCCCTTGCTCACACGGCACGGGTGGGCTCTGGTGCCCAGAATGCTGCACACCTTTGCTGAGGGAAGCTCTTGGACATGAAGGGCGAGTGCCAGCCTCTCCTTGGTTTCTCTGCCTTGGGCCCTGAGCTGTCATTCTGTGGCCTCCTTGGTGACGGCGTGGGGAGTCCTGGCCTGTGGCTTACGCTCTCAGCGTGGCCCTCTGGACCCTGGTTGTGCCGCTGGTTATCTGTGCACCTGCGGCTCCTAAGAACTTCACTGTGTGCCTCTCAAGAGGAGTCCCTCCCATCCCAGTTCACCGAGAGGTGATGGAGACTAGGATGGGGCCTTGCGTCCCGGAGCTCAGCCCGGGTGAGGTCTCGCCAGTCAAGTGCCCCGTCAGGAGTGCTGGGTGGAGGAGAACTCAGGGCACCAGCTCAGCTTGGGGCTGGGGGCTCAGGAACCACCCGGGCAGGGGCAGGAGGAGGCCTCTGCAGAGTTGCGGACGTGGGTGCCCGGCCCTCCTGGGCTCTGAAACAGCAAAGCACGGCTGCCAGGAACACCAAAACCCACACCTCAGGGTGGAACCCGGGGAAGTGTAGCCAGGTTCCCCCGGCGCCTAAAAGCCCCTAAATCTGGCGGCAGCGCCGAACGCAGGGTGGAGGCCCAGGGCTGGGGGCAGCCGGGCGGAGCCCAGGGCCTAGGGACTGTGACCCTGAGGATGGAAGAGCCCACGGGAGGTGGGAGAGTCCAGGGCAAAGGCCAAGGGGGGACGAGGGGCCAGGTTTGAGGGCGGGATGGGAAGGGTGCCGACTACAGGAATCTTATGGAAGATCAGGGATTGGTTTAAACAGGCGGGTGGAGACCTGGGCTGTAGGGGTGGCTTCCAGAACCCAGAGTATGCGGTGGGTGGGGCCCTGGGCCTGGGGAGGATTCGCAGGGACCTCATCCCGTCCCCAAAGCTGTAACCACAGCCAAACCAGAGGTTGCTTTCACGTTCAACTCAGAAATTCCGCAAGCATCACGGTGCCCGGCCCGGCCTCCGCGCTGTGGACAGTGGGTCCCCTTGGGTGTTGCTGCAGGCAGTTGACGGAGCAGCGGGTGAGGTGGTGCCAGCAGCATGGCCATGGGATACAGGAGAGGGGGTCGGGGGAGGACAGGACGCTCGCTCTTTAAAGTGAAAGGCAAGTGTCTAAAGAGAAGTGGACGTGTCAGCAACACTCTGTCAGATCTAACATAGACCCGTGAGTGCTAAGGGCCTCGAAGCCCGAGCTCTGGCCAGAGCCCCGGCCTGGCCTTCTCCTGGTGCCTCACCTGGGGGCATCCAGGGAGGGCCTGCCTTGCCCCCTACCCCAGAGAGCCTGGGGCGGGGATCTGAGTGCCCAGCTCTGCCCCAACGTGCATGTCAACCCACCCAGCATGCTGTCGTGTCCGGCCAGCATCTCCCTCTGGATGGAGGGACCAGGAGTAAAGGGCTTTTGGTTGAAGCTGTAAAAATGACAGTAGAAATCCTCGTAAGCTTTGCTTGAAGCTGCTTTTAACTGTGACACTGATATTACGACGTGTTTCCTCCAGGGATAAGAGAGTGCTGCAGGAGTGGAGGGAGCACACCCAGATGATGAGGAGGAAGAAGGAGGAACTGAGCAAGCTGCTGCCCCCACAGAGGACTCTGGTACGTGGTGGCGGGGAGGGCGGGAGGATGGAACAGCCGCAGTGACTGCGGTGCGGGCGGCCCGCGTGCCCAGTGCTCCGTGCTTGCACGTGTCCTGTTCAGTCCTGTGGGGCGGGTGGGTCTGCCAGTGGCCCCGCTTCACCAAGGAGGAGGCTGAGACCTAGAGAGAGAGCCACCTGCCTGCAGGCTGGCGTGTGACGGGGGCTGGGCCGGAGCTCGGCCGACGGGAGAGTCTGCATCTGGACCCTCGACCGCTGCCTCCCCGCCCTCTGACCAGTGTGTTTTCTTTCTGTCTGAGGAGTCAGTTCTTCAGTGAGGAAGGCAGGACAGGGGTGGGGAAACTGAGGAAGCGAAGCTGAGGTTGAGGAGTGCTGCAGGGTCTCCTTTCCTTGGTCTCAGCCCCAGGGAGGCTGCTCGCCTTGGAAGCCAGGAAGCGGTGTTCAGCGGCCTGTCTCCTCTGTTCCCAAGGACGGCAGCAAACACTGGGGTTGCCAGCTCCCCAGTTGTGTGGGGCACACGGTACCCCGAGAGTGGCACCTCTCTTCCCTTTTTCTCCCAAACCATTCGGGGGTCTGAGCCCGGACAGGCACAGGGGACCTGCAGGCCTGGAATACACCTGCTCTCTTACGTCTTGGGAGTGGTCAGGCAAGGCCACTGCTGAACATGGCCACGACGGCCCTTCAGTTCTTTGAAGAAATGTTCCCTGTGTGTGATCCCACAGGCCAGGGGGTTTCCTCTGCGTCCCCCAATGCGGGGGAAGGCGCCCTGAGCCGCTGGCCTCCACCTCACAGCAGGTGAGCAGGGCGGCCCACTCTGACAGTCCAGGGGTGTGTTTTTATTGTCACTTTGTAGGGAGCTAACTTCAGAACTACAGAAAAGTTGCTGAGATAGTGTAGTTTCCACACACCCGTCACCAGCCCCCAGTGTTCATGTCCTACACCGCCACAGACATGCTCAGAACCAGTATTGACGGCGGGGTGGTGCTGCGAATGAAAGGAAAACCAGACTCACCGCGTTCTCACTGCCGTCCTGCTCTGGTAGGGCCTACGGCCCTCGGCTGCCACATCCCCGCAGTGTCCTATAGGCTGTCTGTCCCGGTCTCACACTTTTGAAGTGTACTGATGAGTTATTTTGTCGAAGGTCTCATTCATCTCAGTTACTTGTCTGATGTTTCCTCACGACTGGGCTGAGGTTTTGCACTCAGGCAAGAACACCATGGAAGCCATGCCGTGTTTGTCCTTGCAGCACATCACCGGGTATGGTGTCGATGAACCTTGGTCCCTCCCTGAGGAACCACTGTCTCCCCTCTGTGGCCGATGCATCCCTTGGGGGAGACACTGGGCCGAGCAGATGCTGATTCTCCGCACGCCCCTGCCTGCTTCTCTCACCCTCTGTCAGGGCTCCTGTCTGCAGCAGGTGGCCCCGTGACCGTCTCCTAACAAGAATCTTTGTGACTGAATTCTTCTGCCGCCTAACACTTCCCAGGTTGCCTTTGTTCATCCAAACAGAGCAATGGTTTGTTACCTTAAAAGAAAAAAGACACGGTGGGATACTTTAATCCTAGTGGAATGTCACGGTGGAGCGCCCCGATTTCCAGAATCAGAACCTTTCTGGCTCAGGTGCAGTTGGGGTCGCTGGGCCCTGCCTGCTGGCTCAGGTGGCCCGCCCGGGGCTGGCATGCTGTGATGGCCTCACTGTCCCCCGGCCCGGCTGGGCTTTGCTCGGCTGCCGGGTCTTCAGAGCACCGGCGAGGGCGCCACTGGGACTGTGGCCCTTCCCACAGAATCTGCTCATGTGACACGTGCTTCTCACTAAAGAAACCTGTCTCGGGAGATAGAATTAAAACGGTTTGTTCTATTAAAGGCATTCTAGACCCTGAAACACTTGTCTTTTCTACGAGCTTTTAGTGTTCCTTTACTATTAGAATGACATCAGAGCCGCAGCAACTTTCAAGGAAACCGAGCTTCCTGTTACTCCACCACCTGTCGTTGTCCAGTACGACGCCCACCATCCACGCCTGCATGGCGTTATGGATAAAATTTTATGTTCTCTGTTTACTTAACATTCTACGTGCTGTAAAGTCTGCTACTATATTTATTCTAACCTCTCAGCTTTCTCCTATGTGTGTAAAAATTGAAAATACGTGTTTCATCTCTTCCAGGAATAGAAAGACTGGCACAGTTAGACGTTCTTAATGTAATAAAGCCTTCAGAGCTCTATTACAGCAAAAAAATGGGAAACAATTTAAACGTTGATAGATAGAGATGGCTAAATAAATTGTTACATTCGAATTATGGGTGACCTGTGTGGCCGTTAAAAAGGATGAGTTAGACATGTTGTTATACAACCATCCCCGCCTTCCATCTCCACAAATCCTCATCTTCCCAAACTGAAGCTCTGTCCCCACTAAACACTAACTCCCCACCCCC